CATGCAGCTTGCCTGCTGCAGGTGGTTAAGACAACAAGCAGGTCGATCTGTCCTTGAAACCTTTCAGGTAAGGGAGGTATGTTCCAGAGTCATAGACTCTGGTTCTGGAGAATTCAGTACCAGAAATCAATAGTAGTCTTACATCAATGAAATGAAGTGATACAAGTGCTCTGCCTTCTGCATGGCATTTAATGTAATCTAGATGACTAACAGCATGAAGAGCATGAGTCAAGGGTCCTTTTGAAGAGATGAGCTGCTCAATTCAGCTTTAGATGGAGTTTTCCCGTGGTCTCAGAGGGAGACACAAGAGCATTGTCCTAATGCACAGCCAGAAGGGTGTTGCGTGCTATAGTGTTGTCTCCATCTAAGAATGGCTACAACCACAGAGAGGCTGCCTGTAAAAAGAGGTGTAGGATTCAACTTAGATCCAGGACCTCTCTAGTTTATCTGGTAAGGCCTTGCAACTTTCAGTCATGCAGACAAATACTAGATGCATGTTCCAACAGTGAGCTGCCCTTGAAGCCACTGTACATTGCTCTAGATGAAGTTTTCAACTCTGCCGCGTTGTGACCAGGTGTTACAGAAGAAAAAAGTTCTGAGGCGACCCTCTGATATAATACCACAGGAAATTGCTGTGATCACACCAGATTGCAGGTTGAAAGCACTCCTCTAAACACCTGCTGTTCCTCTGGTCCTCAGTTTTCTGTCTTGCCTGGGATAGTCAGAAATTTAGAAGACATATCCTTCGACTTATCAGTACATAAACAGCGGTGGTACTCGCTGGTGGCAGATTCATTCATTCTCTGAACAACGGCGCGCCGTCATCTGTCCCGTGCAAACTTCACATTATCTTTTGGTGACCTAAAGCATAATATTAATATGCAGTTTTTATTTAGTACTACAGGGAAAAACTTGTGCAATCCCCTTTTTCTACATAGGAATTACCAATGCGCTTATTCAAAAGTCAGCTTGATAAAACTTCGCATCGAGTCCTCCTTCCCAGAATACTTTCTCAGTGTTAACAGAGCTCTCCTATCATTTTAGCTAAGCAGGAGGGTAACCTGGTTTGACAATAGTTTTAAAATCCTGAAAGTTAATGTCATCTTTGCACCACACTGGACAATGTGTTGTATTTGAGGAATCTGCATAGTGACAGAATAAGGCATGGGGTGTCCTAATTCATTCC